GAGCTTTTCGACAAAACGACGAAAGATAATAGCTGATGTTGAATATTGCCTAAAAGATCTAACCATTAAATCAAGCAATATTTCACATTCACCAGAAGAAGTACAATCATTGTATTTAAAAAGTATATCAGATCGAAAACTTTCAACTGAGAGTGTTATTCCCTCAGGTGCAAATAATATTGATTGTGAAGTGAACTCTGACAGTAATCTATTGATATTAAATATTGGCATTAGACAAGGTATTTTAAGTAATAATTTAAATTTTTTAAAGAAAAAGAATTGTTTACCAATTCAGTCAACATTGATGATTTACCATTGTTTAAAAGCAGCATTGGACAAATTTGACCAATATTAGGTTTAAAAAATGTTGATAAACAATATTCAACACAATAAAGCCCTATTTATAATCGATGTTTTTTATAGTAGGTCTAAACCAAAAGACCGTAATGAATTTCTAAAAATGTTTGTTAATGAAAGTATTGCTTTATTTGAATCTAGTATTAGTATTAATGGTAAAGTATATAAGTTTGCTATATCAGCTTTTATTTGTGGTACACCAGCTAGATCATTTATAAATGGAAATAAAGGACAATAAATAAAATAAAGCCTATTAATAAATGTTATGCAATAAATAATGGCATTAATTTGATATCTATTTTTTTTTTTAATTTTTTTAAAAAATATTCTTCAGTATATATATTACTGATGCTTTTTCTATTTTTTTTTTGTAGATAATAGCTGTGGCAAGTAAAGGAGGCCAGACTTTAAAGGAGGCTGTCCAGAGAATGTCTTTTGCGTTATTCACTAATAACCTCTGCTGTAAACTTAACTGGTCTGGTATTACTATAAATGACAATGAAAGTAACTTTGTAAAACAAAGACTTACACTTGCTTAAAAGTAATTTTTTTTGTAGGGGCTTGTTACTCTAATTTAATAATTATTGTGTTTAATTTAGTAATTACTAATCTATTTGTTAATAAATAGTTGATAAATAAATAAAATTTATTTATTAACTATATAAAAATAAAAAATTAATAAATAGATAAACAAAATTTGTTAATAAAAAGTTATATATATTTCTAAAATTAAGTTAAAAGATATATTTTTTGTTTTCCTGCTAGATAGTTAAATAAAAGTCTTAAATTAATTTTTAGGAGCTGTAAAAAGAAATCCTGCAACAACTTCAGCAACTGAATCAGATTTTCAATATGAGGTTGTGCGTTTTTTGCGTGGTGCATCAGACCGCAATGGCGGAAAAAAAGTTAGACAAGACCAAAAAAACAAACAAGCCAAGAAAAAAGTAATGCCTACATCAAGTTTTCCAATGCCATTAAATAAAGAGGTATTTTTTAGTTCAGAAGATGAATAATATTGTTAAATAAAATAAGCATCTTTATTTACAAATTTGTTATCTTTATTTTGTTGAAAACAATTTTATATATTTTTAAATATTTTATTTTTTAAACTCTATAGAGTAAAGTTTTTGTGCAATGAGTATTACTGTTTCTGTGTTTTTCATATTCATTCCCTTTTACAGTAACCTTTTGTATATGAGATTGTAGATGAAAATTTAAATCGTGATATTGAATTATACCAGAGAATAAAGTAAGATTAATTTTATTATTTTGATATTTATTTAATTTTATCATTTTGATATTATTTTAATGTTATTTTTGAAAAAAATCCAAAATATAAGTTCTGGAGTCTGTCTACTGTTTGATTTGTTTGATTATATTAAATTTAAATATAACTATAAGCTTTAAAATATAAAGTTATTGATGGAAAGCTAAATTAACTTGGTATTTAACCAGTGAAGCAGATGAATAAAAATCTAACAAAATTTTTATTTTACAAGCCATTATTTTAAAGGATTGCTTTAACAATTCCGTTCAAACATGCTTGTAATTTAATGTTACATTTATGATTTAATATTATTTATTTACAGGAAACCGTTTACCTCAACCAAAGTTATATTTCATAGAATTATGTTGACCATGATCCAAATATTGCCATGGGTATAAGATAGATGTTTGATTTGCAAACTGGATTTAAATCATATTTTCTTTAAACATATTTATTTACTCTTTATATGCTTACAAATAATTTATTAGAAAAAATTATATACTTATTTACTAAACCGTTTTATTTCAATCAATTATTTGATTTTTTATATTTTTCAAGGAGTTTTTATAGTATATTATATTGGGCTATGTTTTTTTTTTTGTATGGTGAAAACTATGTTCAATTTACAAACTATATTTTAGTTTATCAAAATATATTTTTATTGATGTGTTTTGCCTCTGATTCTTTCTTTTTCAGATGTGCACTTGTGTCTTAGGCTTATGCTTTGCAAAAGGTTCAACATCGCCCTTAAGTTGCTGAGGGTTTTACGGTTTTACTTCCAACCTGGCATATAAGTATCTCATTTATAAATACTATTTTATTTGTTAAATTAAAATTAAAATTAAAGATACTTTTTTTAATGAAATAACAATTTTTTTTTATTGTTCATAAACCCCTCAAGCATATTTAAAGGATTAGGTATAATAAGGTAGGTTACTGTATATGAAGTTTTATTTTTTTAAAAAAGGCACGCAATATGACTTTATTTTTATATAGCTTTTTTTTAAAGTTATTTCCATAGCTTTTCAATTTAAACAATGTTTTTGTTGTTTTTTATGTTTTAAATTATGCTTAAATAATAAAATTAAATTTATATTTATTCAATGTAGATGCACTTAGTATCTGAAGTTATTTGTCAATAACTGGTGATCAGACTATTTCAAACGAATACGTTTTTAAGGGCTGAGAAGGTTAGTTTATTATCTTTGTTGTAATAGCTCTAAACTTGACTGTTTCAATATTTTCATTATGTATCATTGCCTGTTTTTAGGTGAAAAATAGAAGTCTGCAGACTGCAACGTAAATCAATTTTCAACACATGGTTTCCTGAATATATTTAGTTTTCGATTGAAATGAGAATAAACTGAACTTATAGATATGTTGAAAATTAACTATTTTATATTTTAAACATTCGCTAAACGCAAGTGAAGCAATAATCTATAGATGCAATTATACTTTATATTTTGTTTTAGTTTAAAAAAAAATTATTGTTACTTTTATATTCATGTTGTAATTGTAAATTGCAATCTTAAAATGATTTTTATTATAGCTTCTGATTAGTCTTTTTGTTCACCAAGCTTAAGCGTTGCCACGTATGACCTAATAGTTTACAGTTGGAGTAGTGTTTTTCGGTGGTAGAATAATTTTAGTATAATAAATTCGTATTTTGTCTATATACCTATGCACAAAGTCAAAAGATATTTGATGTGTCTTCCAGGCATTGGCAGGATTTGCATTTTTTTATGAGTAAAAATTTGAGCTGAAAGATATAAAGATTTTTGCTAAAAATAAGTGCGTTCTATTCAAACAAAAAAATAAAAATAATTATATTTATATCAATGCATTCAAATCTTAGTCAAAACTTATTATAGATCCTATGCTATTCCGCTATGGCTTTATCATCGTCTAGACGCTGACGGACCGTTGTTCAAACGTTGTCGATTTGCCGCCATAGGTCCGCTGTCGAACCGCCTTCAGTTTTCCGCTAACGGACCGATGTAAATACGATGTGCAAGCCAACGCGGCAACGCAACGGGCGGCCGACGTCGGCACGGCATAAGTGCTGACAGCGGTCCGTTATCGGTCCGCCTGTTCGATGTTTGCTGGGTATATATATATATATATATATATATATATATATATATATATATATATATATATATATATATATATATATATGTATATATGTATATATATACATATATATATATATATGTATATATATATAATATTATATATATATATAATATATATATATATATATATATATACATATATATATATATATATATATATATATTATATATATATATATATATATATATATATATATATATATATATATATATATATATATACCCAGCAAACATGCTTTCAGCGGACCGTGATGCGCAAAGCCGCCGCCGGTAAGCCAGTGCTGACCCTTTGTTATGCCTAATGCGGCTTGCCGCTGCCGGGTAGCTGATGCAGGACCGGCATCCTATTTTATTTTGGCTTTCCGCCATCGGCCGAAGAGCGATAAAACACTTCGTCGCCAATGCAATTTTAAATGGTCATGCCAGCTTCGGTAAGTTCATCACGAAACGCTGTAGCTTTGCCCACACAATGCCAAAGTGGGCCTTTGGATGGCGGTAAGCTGTCGTAAAAAACATCAAAAGCAAGCGTTTCAAGCGCCATGAGACTTTGATTGGTCGATATCGATATATAGTGATTTATGGTTTTATTTTATTAGTGTTTATTTAATACTAAGAGGTAACTCTAAAATTAAGAGAGTAACATTATTAAAAAATAATTTTAGCCTAAAATTATTTTTTAATAATGTTACTTTATTAAATAACTTTAAAAATGTTACTTTATTAAATTAAATGTTACTTTATTAAATAACTTTAAAATGAAGAGAAACTTTATTAAATAATAATTTTAGGCAAGTAAATAAAGTTTATTTACATGCCCAAAATTTAGGCATGTAAATAAACTTTATTTACTTATCTAAATTTTTATCTAATAAAGTTTCTCTTCATTTTCAAGTTAACTCTTACTAAGCTTAGTAAGAGGTAACTCTTCATTTTAGAGTTAACTCTTACTAAGCTTAGTAAGAGTTAACTCTAAAATGAAAAGAAACTTTATTAAATAATAATTTTAGGCATGTTAATAAAGTTTATTTAGCAAATAATTTACATGCCTAAAATTATAACATGAGCTTTACTGTTTAAGTTTACCTAACTGTTTACTTATAAACTTATAGCTTTACTGTATATTCCAAGACTAAGAGTCTTAGTCTTGGAATATACAGTAAAGCTATAACTTTCATATCTATTTGAAATGAATAACAAAAAGTATATATATTTTTTACTTAAGTTTATTAAATATATATAGGCTCGAGTAAAAACATATATACTTTGTATATTTCATATCAAATAGATAGTGAAAGTTACAAAATAATATAAAGTTATAGAATTACATTAAATGGAAAGTTATTAAACATTAAATGAAAAGTTGTGAAATATATATACTCATATAGTTTATACGTCTTTATATAATATAAAGATATCTTTATTATGTTATGTTACATATTATGAGTCTTCGTAATATATTATATTATAAATACTCGTATATCTAGATATACGAGTATTTATAATATAATATATTACAAAGACTCATAATAAGAGTATATGAGTCATATAAAACTCTCTATGTTATTTTATATTCAATTTCATGTATAACTTGAAATTAAATGTGAACTATAGACTTTATATAGTATATACTATATAAAGTCTATAATTCACATTTTATTTCAAGTATATATTTCAAGTTATATATGAAATTAATTACTATATGTAATTTTTAAGTTATATATGAAATTAGGTACCATATTATAGGCTATGTATGAATGGTATCATATGTTATATATGAATTTACGTATCAAATAAAGTTGTTTTATATTATTATTATACAACAACTTGTATATGATACATATATTCATATATAACATCATGTCATATGATATATCATATGGCGTACGATATGTTGTATATGAAATATTATAATATTATATAATATATGATACGTAAATTCATATACAAATATTGATATGTTGTAATATTAATACAACTTGAAATACATATATTTGATTTAAAAAATAAATTATAGACTTTATATAGATGTATATTGACTTATATTGATGATGAGTTATGAAAGTATATATATATATATATATATATATATATATATATATATATATATATATATATATATATATATATATATATATATATATATATAAATATATATATATATATATATATATATATATATATATATATATATATATATATGTATATATATATATATATATATATATATATATATATATATATATATATAAATATGTATTTATATATATGTATACGTATATACGTATATATATATATATATATATATATATATATATATATATATATATATATATATATATATATATATATATATATATATATATATATATAATAGGAAATATTTGTATCTACTACGTATCATTATTATTAATTATTGCGCTTTACATTATATAATATATATTATACAATGTAGAGCGCATATTATATAAGATAGGGTTAAATAATAATAATAATTAATAAAAATCTGTTTTAGTGAAAAGAATTAGCAAAATTAAGCTTCAAGGTTGCTTATTTTAATTTTTATTTAATTTAATATTTTTAATTTTTAAGACTTTTTTTTAAGATTGTCTTGAAAATTATTTTGACTTAATGTCACACTTTGATTTACTGATTTACTAATATTTATTTGCAGGTTTAGTTGCTTTTGTCTCCATGTTGTCCAAGGGTTATGTCGGCCATGATCCTAATATTATCATGGGTTTAGCAGAGTTGTTTAACTTGCAAACTGGATTGAAGATTTTGAATAATTTTTTGTGTTCTTTATATGGTCACAAGTTTGTACTTGTTTAGAACCCTCAGTCATTTGAAAATTATGGCGCCGGTATGGTAGTTATTCTAATTTTATAGCTTTCATTTTTCTCAAGTTATTTTCATAGTTTTTTATATTGAGCTACACTTTTGTTTGTACAGTGAAAACTATGTTCAATAATAAAACTATAATTTTATTTAGACATGGTAGATGTCCTAGAAAAAACTGGTAGTAACTCAATGTAGATACACATAGTCGATGGAGTTACTTGCTAATAACTGGCAATGAGACATATTTGCTTCAAATGATGCCTTTAAAGTTTGAAAAGGTTAGTTTATTATGCTCGTCTTAAATGGATAGTTTTTATATTTTAATTATAAATCAGTGTCTGCTTTAATATAATTATCATAAAAACTAGGCATCTGAAAACATTCCTGCAATTTAATATCATGATAGTGACTTACTCTTGTCTTTTTCATGTTTAGATTTTTTCTAATTCAAATGTCGACTTTTTGTTACATGAAAAAAGATACTTATTTCAACCCCTCGACTATATTGGTAAGTAGAGCATTAGTCAGAAGTTGTATTTAAGCTTACTGTTTATTAAGTTTTACTTTTTTCAAGAAAAGCACATAATATGACTTTATTTTTATATAGCTTTTTAAAAGTAGTTACATAACTTTTCAAATTAAACAATGTTTTTGCTGTTTTTATCTGTTAAATTATGTTTTAATATTAAAATGAATTTTACATTTATTCAATGCAGATACACTTAGTATGTGGAGTTACTTGTCAATAGCTAGCGATGAAACTTTTAAGCGTAACGTCTTTAAGGGCTGAGAAGGTTAGTTTGTTTCGTTATAGTAGCTCTAAACTGAAATGTTTCATTATTTTGATTGGATATTGTTGTCTGCTTTTAGGTAAAATTAGAAGTCTGCAGACTGCAACGTAAATCGATTTCAACACGTTATGGCTTCTCGAATATAATTAGTTTCCGATTGAAATGAGAATAAACTGAACTTATATATAAAGTGTTTACAATTAACTTTTTAAACTAGAAATACTCCAAAGGAGGTTCTCCAAACGGAAGTTAAGCAAAGTCGATAGATGTTAATATCTTTTATATTATGTTTTAGATATAAAAAAAAATTTTTGTGACTTTAATATTATGTTATAATTGTAAATTGCAATCTTAAAAGTATTTTATTATTACTTCAGATTGTTCTTTTTGTTCATATATTTGTTCACCGAGCTTAAGCGTTGCAACGTATGACCTAATGATTTACAGTTATGGTAGTGTTTCTTTATGTTATGAGTATTATTAACTAAATTTGTGTTGATTTATTAAGTATTTAATGGCTATATACCTAAGCACAAAGTTAAAAGGTATTTGATGTGCTTTCCAGGCTTAAGCAGGGTTTGCCATTCTTTTTAGCGTAAAAATTGAGCTAAAAATATTTAAAAATGTCCTTTAAGTGCGTTTTGTTCAAATAAAAAAAAAATAGTGATATGCATATTAATGCATTCCAATCTTGATCAAAACATATAAAAGGTCCTATGTTATTCCGCTATCGTTTTTTCATCGGTTTGCCGCTGACGGACCGTTGTTAAAAAGTTTGCGATTTGCCGCCATCGAGCCGCCTGCAGATTGCTGCTAACGGACCGATGTAAATACGATGTGCAAGCCTACGCGGCAACGCAGCGGGCGGCCGACGTCGGCACGGCATAAGTGCTGACAGCGGTCCGTTGTCGGTCCGACTGCTCAATGTTTGCTGGGTATATATATATAATATTATATATATATATATATTATATATTATATATATATATATATATATATATATATATATATATATATATATATATATATATATATATATATATATATATATATATATATATATATATATATATATATATAATATTATACCTAAATTCAAAGAGTTTGAATTTAGGTATAATATTAAGTTTGCATTTATTTACAAAAACAAAATCTTAAAACTTTTCCGGGCCTTTAAAAAAAAAAATATTGCTTAAACTCAAGGGGTAAGTTGATTCACAATTAAAAAAAAAATAAAGTTTAATGTCCTATTTATATGTATTTTAATAATATTTTAAAACGCCTTTAAAAGTCTTTTTGTATAAAAAAGAATCATGGCTGAAACATACTTTTATCAATATCATCAAACTTTTGGATCAAGTCATTGTAACACTTTAAGCAAAAGGTTCGACGCCAGCTTTAGCCCAACAAGCGATATTGGTACGGAAGGACGCGTGAACTTCCCGTTAAATGCTCTCCCGCGGTGCTCTATGATAAGACCGTTAAGACTTCTGGGAGCACCTAAATACATACAAAAAAAAAAAAAAAAAAAAAAAAAAGAGTAAATATAATAAAAAAGTGTAAAATGAAAAAAAATTGAAAACAAAACAGTGTTCCCAATTTATGGTAATACAATAATTAAAACGTATATTGTTTTATTATATGAATATTTTAAACTAATTTTAATGTATTTGAATATAAAATACATTTATGTTTACAATTTTGAAATTATGCCTTAATAGTTATACAATAAATGAATATAACACCTTAATCAAAGTTGACATTTTAATTATTAAAGTTTATTGAATAATTATTTTGTTAATATTAAATGTTACATTACTATAATTTTAAAAAACTGCTCATTAAAAACATTAAAAAAATGCTTTTATTTTCATTTCACATTTTATTTTTTATTTGAAATCATTCTTTATATGCATGCTTTATATGAATTTTATGAATATGAAAAAGATAACATTTTGCTTAAAAGATTTAAATTTAATCAAACAACTTTTAACAAAACAATATGGTTCTTTTTTTTATTCAGCTAACTATCCTTACATAGGAGACTATTATATTGATTGATTTTCTAAATAAATAGTTGCACATTTATCGTGTGTATATATATATATATATATATATATATATATATATATATATATATATATATATATATATATATATATATATATATATATATATATATATATATATATATGTATATATATATATATATATATATATATATATAACTTTCTTTTTTCTTTTTGAACATGAAAAAAATATTTATAACTATTTAGTTATAGGAAATGCGAATACATTAATATTATAATTGTAATGTATTATATGAACATTTTAAACAATTTTCGCTTTCAGTTTTGATCGTATATTGTACCTAAAATCCTATTTAAGATATGTCGACGATAGTCACGCTAGATTTTTTAACACTCAAAAAGCAAAATAATTCTTAAATATCTTAAACAAACAACACCCGAAACTAAGGAAAATGTTTCGGAAAGTTAGCTATAGAGTCATCTTCAAATCAAGTCCAAGCTTAAATACATTAGTAACGTCAAACAACAAAACTAAGTTGCCACATAATAGTCAACCCGGAACTTATTTGACTGAATGCAAATGCTCAATGAAAGCTTCAAATTCACTAAACTAAAGAAATAAACTTCAAATTCAACAGCATCTAAAAAGTTTAAATTAGGGAAAACATTATAAATCTGCAATAGCCACCCATAATAAGTTTTTCTCACATGAAATAAAGTGGGAAAACGTAAAAACAATTAAAGTTGAAACAAAAATATTTTATCGTAAAGTGCGCGAAGTTTTTGAAATACAGAGGTTCCGATGTTCGCCTTTACATGGCGGAATTAATTTAGATAGAGGGCAGATTGTGAAAACTAAATTTTGGACTCCTTATACGTAAATAAAGAAGTCATTCAACTGTTGACGTCAGTTAATTTTAACGTTACAAAAAATTTGTTGTATATTTTTTACGAGCTGATGATGCTGGTAACCATAATCCGGCGAATATTTCTAACAATAAATTATTAATTGTATTAAGAGAATTCGTATTAATTGATGTTTTTTTTGCAAATAGTCGATGTCGATGTAGCAACACTCCGTGCATGTTTTAAAAATATATTTTAATAAAACAAAAACAAAAACAACATTCATTAAAAAAAACTTAAAAGTCATTATTATTGCGGTTATTTTAAAAAACAAAATTAATGTTACTTCCGCATTAATTTAATTGGTTTGACATTTCGGCGACAATAGTAGCTTATATGTCAAGGTAGCAAAAATATAATCGACAGAGACTTACATTAAAAGTCTTTTTCCACTACGATATATGGATATATATATATATATATATATATATATATATATATATATATATATATATATATAATATATATATATATATATATATATATATATATATATATATATATATATATATATATATATATATATACAGTCACGAAAAAATTTAACCAATAACTTAACCGACTAATTCGCGTCAAATAGCCGACTAGCCGGCTAAAGTTGTAAAAAAACCCGACTATAACTCCTAAATGGCCTTTTTTTGTGGGAAAAGGAGAGTTTTCTTCCAAACTTATTTTTCGCCTTCGTATCTCTTTGAGCATTTGCATTCAATCAAATAAGTTTCGGGTTGACTATTATGTGGCAACTTAGTTTTGTTTTTTACGTTAGTAATGTTTTTGAATTTGGATTTGATTTGAAGACGAATCTATAGCTAGTTTTCCGAAATATTTTCCTTAGTTTCGAGGATAGAGAAGATATCTTATTAAATTTTGTTGAATTTTAAGGACTGTTTATTTCCACTCAAGTTTGCAATCCGTTTAAGTTGGCATATGTTGTACCCATTTTTGTTAAACATTTGACAAGGAAATTAATCTTATATTGTAAATATAAATTACTGCATAAGAATAAGAAGCCCTGTGAACGTAAATTTAAATATTGCGTTTAGAATCTTTGGGTCATGATTTGAGAGAGGTTTTATTTGAATATTAGTAATGGCTTCCTTTCTGTATACTTTAAACTTGTATTTTCCTTTGTTGTTGTTTATTATGGTTAAATTGAGGAAGTTAGAATTCTATTTTTGCTTTCAGTTTCGATCGTATATTGTATCGCAGGGTGTTGTTTGTTTAAGATATTTAGGAATTGTTCTGCTTTTTGAGTGTTAGAAAATCTAGCGTGACTATCGTCGACATATCTATAATAGGATTTTAGGTGCATTATACGATCGAAACTGAAAGCGATTATCGTTTAAAATATTCATACAATACATTATAATTATAATATTAATGTATTCACAATTCCTATAACTAAACAGTTATAAATATTTTTTACATGCTCAAAAAGAAAAAAGAAAGTTAAACATATATATGAAAAATGTGCAACTATTTATTTAGAAAATCAATCAATATAATACCCGGTGGAAAATGAGCTAGCGACTAGCAAGCGACTTGCTAATTTTATAGCGATTTTTAAGCGATTTTTTTTTTCTTATTTTATTCTTTACTAATGTCTCTTACATCTTTAAAAATTCGATTTTTAGTGTTGAGTCTATTATAATTATGAGAATAATTGAACTTTAAACATTGCAATTTTGTAGCAATGTGTTGCTAGCTACATATCGTAGCTTTGTAGCTAGCTACAAAATGTCTAAAAATATAAAGTTGGTTGATAGCTACATATAAAAATATTTTTTGAAAATTGATTTTATTACGATATGACGATAGCCAGTGAGTCTTTAGCTTTATAAGCTAGCTGTCCTCGTAGCCAAATTGCTGTCTTTATCTTTACAAATATCGATAGCCTTTTGCCAACTTAAAAAAGCCAGCAATCCTCGTGGCCAAATCGCTGCCTTTATCATAACGATTATAGCTAGCTATTCACTAGCCAATTTCCCACTGGGTAGTCTCCTATGTAAGGGTAGTTAACTGAATAAAGAGAAAAACCATATTGTTTTGTTAAAGGTTGTTTGATTAAATTTAAATCTTTTAAGCATAATGTTATCCTATAATGTTATATCAATGTAATATATATATATATATATATATATATATATATATATATATATATATATATATATATATATATATATATATATATATATATATATATATATATATATATATTACATTGATTTAGTTACTTATATTGTTTCAGCCGTCTTACGTTGTTTTATTGGACTTGCAGTGGATCTACATAAACAAGTTTAAAACATTCATTAAAGTTTTGTTCATCGGTTACTTAGATGACCCTTAGCCGGCTCGTTACTTTTTTTGGCTGCGACCAATGGTCCATTATGTAACCGATGCGAAAAACTAGAGTGAACCACTCAATTGGCTACATAGGCCCGCTAATATTCCGTTCTAGAATGTTTACTGGGTTTAACTATATTTATATATATATTATAACTATATTTATATATTTAGTAGAACAAAATATTTGGAACTCAAAATGAAAAGGAACAAAATGAAAAGGAACAAATGGAACTCAAAATGAAAAGCACGTATCCAGCAGAATCATCAAAGTTAAACATTAGCTATGCAAAAGAAGCGGTTTTACAAAATGGGAGGCAAACATTATTTGATGTTTAAGTAACAACTACTGCCAAGACATTAGCTGTCCCTCCACAAGCTTAACACATCAAGAATATAATGGTAGCATGCAATCTTCTGTTATTGGTTATATTACTGACAGTTGCAATACAAAGAAAATGACGAAGATATTTTCAAGACAGTCAAATTGATGCTATTGGTAATACTTCTACAAGAACCACTAGCACTGTTGGACTAGCTTTCTTGCAGCCATTAGACATTGGGAATTTAAAATAGAAAATTTTCCATCTACTCACTGGAAAGGTTTTTAAAAACTGTTTACATTCCCTTTCTATTGAATATGCTAAAGTATGCTGGAAATCGCATGTTTTTAATGTCTGCTTTGAAAAAAAGAATACCAAATGAGGAATCATACTCGCGAGATTGGCATGATTTTAGCCCAGCAGAGACAGCAGAATTTTGTTTTCAATGTCGATTATTTTCACCTGAAAATCCAGTTCCACATATGACTTTATCTCTTGAAATGAATTGAGAATGGCGATATGATAAGGAAAAAAAGTATTTTATCAGTCGAATTCTTGAGTATGAACATTTAAAAGCCCATAAATAGTGCTACATTTAGTAGCGTAAGTTGGAAGTTCGAATGAAAACTGATCAGTCAATTGAACATTTTGTCTAATCCTCAGTGAAGCAGACACATGAAGAAAAATTCTGGAGTAAATTTTGATAAGATTCTGTTTCTTTCTGAATGTGAATTACCTTTTTTAAAAAAATTTGACCTAATTTTCACAATCGAAATTTGCTTATCATTGCTGGAACTGATTTCGCATTACGACCCAAATTTAAGGAAATATGTGATAAATGTTAAACAATCACAGAAAACGGATCAACGTTTTTCAGGCGCATTATCAGTAAAATTGTTATATAAATTAATTCATTTCCCTATTGTGCAGCCAAATCATTAAATCTTGGAAAAAATTTCAGAGCATGAATATCACCTTAAAACAAAAACTGAGACTGCAGGTGTCTTTAAATATTCAAGCTCCTTCAAATTTGTCCAAAATTTAGATGAAAATCCTTACATTTATTGATGGCTTCAGCCAGGCTATTCAGGTAAAAAATGTTTAAGTTTCAATCAGTTAACTCAAAATTGTTTAGAAGAAATGGCCTATAAATTTAGAAAAGCCAATATTGCTGCAGACTGTGAAAATCAATTCTGAATTTTTAATCTACAGAAAAGTAAAGTGAAGAAGTTTCGCTGCGGAGCAAATTGATGGTGATGTCCCATACCACAAAATTAACAGAAAGAGAAATAGGAGGAAAGCAATATATTGGAGAACTGTTTTTTTTATTAAATACCTGATTTTGTGATTGATAAACTCACTGCTCGTTTCACAGCATTTCAAGAAATCTTTGCTTTATTCTCTCTTTAGTGGGAATTTTAAAAAACTGTCTGAAGCAGATATCAAGAGTGTCTTGTCCTATTTTTGCAGAAATAATTTTGTATCGTGAACTGATTGAAGAATTGCTTTACGTTTAACAAAATAAAATTTTACGTGTGACATTTGACTTATTATTCGAATTTCTGTTATAAAGTTTGGGGATCTCTTAAGAAATTCAGTGATTGCACTGCGTATTTTTGTTCAATTCCATTGACAATGGCCTCAAATGAGCTTTCATTCAGTAAATTTAAACTCATCAAGAATATTTTTGGTCGCCAAAACTGAAGGATGTTGGGGCTCCCATACCCTGTGCACGGTCTTGTATATGCATCTAAATTTATTTTTAACTGGATTATGTAAACATTTTTTGTTACAGATTATTTAAGCAGTTTGTAACATGTTTTATAAAATTGATATAAATTTTAAAACATCAGATTAAATGCAAGAAACCGCCAGATTAAATGCAAAAAGCAGCCAGATTAAATCCAAAATTGGCTCGTCATGCTTATTAAGTTTAAAAACGCGGAAGTATAAAAATACGCAGAACGCAAAATGGGATTTTGCATTCTTTCTATTTTTATATTTTTCTGCGTAAAATTGGCCAATGGCATAGAGGTATTTAAAAATAACCAATAGCATAAAAGTCTACGTCATTTTTTATCCATTTTTAAATAGTCTACTCCTTTTATTGTCGAACATTTTGTGGATTCTCGTATTTTAATTACTACTGCTGAAAGGTATAGGAAAAAAAGCTGTTCAAGACTTAAATTTATTAATCAAGGTAAAAAGCGTTTACAAAAATTATATTAAAGACATTTTTATATGGATAAAACAATTATTAATGCAAATTTTTTCCGTTTGCACAGGATGCTTTGGAATTAATGCGCGTTTTATATGTCGTTAAAGCTTTATATTTATAATATTCAGCTAAAATTAAAAAAGGGTTATGAGACATCTTTTTTGAGTTTGGAATTTTAGTTATAATAAAAAAATTAACTTTAAAAAAGGTTATAATTTTAAGTAAAAAAATTTTGTTCAAATAAAAGTAAAACCATTTTTTATGGCTTATTTTTATAATATGTTTGACGCTATGAAAGGGTTTAAAATATTTGCATATCTGAGATGATTATGATATCAATAACAACAACAACAAGATATTTATTTTCCTCAAAATTTTCAATCATATAATTACAATAATATATTAATAATAATAATAATAATAGCAATAATAATAATAATAATAATAACAATAATAATAGTAATAATAATAGGAATAAGAATAGTTATAAATAATAATAATAAAAATATTAAGAAAAAGAATATCTATAATGTTATAAAAAATAAAATCAAAATATAATTATTCAGAATAAATATAAATAATTGATTGAGGAAGGAGTCACTCATGCAGAATCTTGATCAAAGGAGTGACACCAAATAATTATATTAATAATATTAATTTAAAAAATAATAATAAAAATACGAACTTTATTCATTAATAGAGCAAAAGTAACTGTAAAAACAATAGTATTAATGATAATTGTAATTATAATAGTAATAATAAAAACAGCAGTAATATTAATTACAAAAATAATAAAGTTTTTATAGAAATAGTAAGAAAAAAAAAAAAAAAAAAAACTAAAGAATGTTAACAATGATAGAAACTTAAAATAAAATTTATTTTAGTATTTGTTTAAATTTATTTTGTTTTAAATAAAAAAATGAAGATAAATTTTGAAATTTTAATTTTTCAAACTCATTTACAATGCACACAAGACTTCGATTCCATTCACTAATGCATTGGTGTGTAATTGAATACTTACCATACCTCAAGGTTTTATAGGCAGGTACATTTAGTTTTCCATTATTGATGCTTCTAGTTAAATGTGAACGTATAAATCAAGTCTCAGTAAAATAGGTTGTAATAGAGGAAGGTAAATTTTTATTAAGGGAGTCAATAACAAAAAAAAGATTTGTAAATTTAATTAGTGCTGGCAAAATAGGAATTTTAAGTTTTTTGAATAATTTTGAAGTTTCTGTATGATGGAGTCATGAAAATTAATTATTTGGAATGATTGGCGCTGAGCTGATAACAATTTATTAATATTACAGTTGTCAATTTGTCCCCAAATTTGACACCAGAAGATGAGATGAGATTGAAAAATTGAAAAATAAAGATTCTTGAGGGTAGTTTTATCAACATAATGGAGAATTATTGAAAGTATGCCATTAGCTCCATTAAGTTTATTACGGAGTGCATCTATATGAAAAGATTCGAATCTATAAAAATACCAAGATATTTAACAACGTGTGTTGGATATAAACTATTGTTATTAATTTTAATTTTAGTTATATGATTTTTTTATAAAAGTTTTTGTCTTGGAGATGAAAAAAATACTAGTTCAGCTTTTTCCAAGTTCAGAGAAATTAGGTTTGCATTTAGCCAATGAACTAAACCTTTTAGGTCTAAGTTTATATTCTTACACAAGGAGTGATGAAACTTATTAATATGCAAGATATTAGTATCATCAGTAAAAAGATGGACTGATGAGAAGTGGATAGAGTTATTTAGATCATTAAGATAAATCAAAAACAATAAAGGGCTGAGAACAGAGTCCTGGGGAACACCACAAACTATATGTTTGTTATTTGATTTGTAACCATTAATGCTTACAAACTGCTTTCGATTTGATAGATAAAATTTAAACAAGTTACAAGAAACTCCTCGAATTATGTAATGTTTAAGTTTAGAAATTAAAATGGTATGATTAACGGTATCGAATGCTTTTTGTAAGTCAATAAAAACACCACCTACGAAATGACCAGTATCCAGTGCCGTTTTTATTTATTCGGTTATACTTATTAAAGCGTGGCAAGTAGAATGATTTGATCGAAATTCAAACTGAAACTTATTTAAACAGTTGAAGGAATTCAAAAATGAGTATAATCTAGAGTACATTAGTTTTTCAAGGAGCTTGCTAATGTTAGAAAGAATTGAAATTAGTCTATAGTTAGTACATGAGAATTTTATACAATTTTGCGGTAGTGGTGTAGTGGTAAAACACTCGCTTCATAAGCGAGAGGTTTTGAGTTC